TTGCAGAAACTGCATTAACTATACTTAGGTGGTCGTTTTCGGAGTCGGGGTCCTGCTCCCTCAGTTTCCTGAGTAGCTGTGACTTCAGGTGCAGGCCACCACGCTTTGCTGATTTTATTTATTTATTCTATTTTTTTGAGCCGGAGTCTCACTGTCGCCCAGCCTGGAGTGCAGTGGCCGCTCCCGGCCATCCACCCTCGTCCTGCTGGGCTCCGGCGATCCTTCCGCCTCAGCCTTCCAAGTAGCTGGAACCGCAGGCGTGTGCTACCACACCCGGCTAATTTTTGATTTTAGAGATGAGGTCTCGCCAAGTTGCCCAGGCGGGTCTCGAACCCGCGGGCTCAGGCAGTGCTCTAACTCCGGCCTCCCAAAGTGCTGGGATTATAGGCATGAGCAACCACACTTGGACTGCTTATTTATTTTTCGTAGAGACGAGACCTCACCAAGTTGCCCAGGCTGGTCTCAAGTCGTCCTTCCACCTCGGCCTGCCAGACAGCTGGGTTTACAGGCACGAACCGCCGCACCTGACCGCCAGCCTTTTTATAGTGAGAAGCGGGAAGGAAAAGGGGAAGGATGGAGATGCAGCGGCTGGGCCCCGCGGCTGAGCCCGTCTGCAGGCCTGCTGCCCCAGCCCCACCGAAACCGGCAGACGGCTTCAGCACGGTGGCACCACGCCAGAGACGCTGCAAGAGGCCCTGGGGACGCGAGCAAAGGGAGAGGTGTCAGTGAGGGAGGAAAGCGAGCAGGCCACACGAGGAAGCCGCCACGGTCCCACGTGGCCCGGCCGAACTTTCTGCTGACGTGGTGGGACTGATGTCGGTGCTGAGTGCTGTTTTCGCCCAAGCGGGGTTTCTGGAAGGCTGGGAGAGAGGGCAGGATGGCCCAGAGCAGCGGTCCCCGACCTGTTTGCCACAGGGACCAGTCCCGCAGGAGACGGCCTTTCCGCAGGCAGGAGGGACCAGGGGCTTCGCGAGCCTCCAAAGGAGCTGCCGCCGGGACCGCGCACGCTCTAGTAGGGCTCGTGCTCTGCGAGCCTCCGCTGCTGATGCTCGTCTGCCCGGAGGCAGAGATCCGTGCCCACTTCCTGCTGGGCAGCCCGGCTCCCAGTCGGCCTGAGCCTGCCCTCGGAATGGGGCCTGGGGCGGGCCGGGGATCCCCGGTCAAGTGAGAGACGGGTCAGCTCGGGCTCCAGGCGCGATCCTGGGCTCGACGCGCAGGGAGGCCTCGGCGGGGGCAGCCTGGCGGGCGGTGGGGCGTGTGCACAGAGCCTGGGCGCGTAGGACTCTGTCTGCCAGGAGTGGATTCCCGAAGAGCTGGGATGGGCGCGCGACTCCACCCTGGCCCCGGTCCTGGGAGCTGTGTTCCTCGGGCGCCACCGGCTGTGGCCTGGCACCTTGCCCTGGCCTGCATGCTTCCATGAGAGCCTCACGGCTCGGCGTCTGTCGCAGCTCGAGGCGCCTGCATGTGGCCACACTGACTCCCGCTCCCGGGCCTGGCTCTGCCCGCTGTGCAGCCCCGCCCTGGGGTTCGGCAGGTCTCTGGGCTTGCTGGCCCCGGAGCCGCCTGGAGATGTAGCCGAGTTGCCCGTGTCAGGAGAGTGTCCTGGAAGTCAAGGGACCTGGGCCAGGGTGCTGGAGAGCCACTTGCCTCTGGGTCCTGAAGGCCAGAGGGGCGCTCGCACCATGGGTAGGTGCGTCTGCACGCGAGTGCCATGGCTTATGGGGACTGCGAGACCCTCAGGAGCCACAGTCCCACGCGGACGCCGGGTGCAGGGGGCCCGAGGACCAGCGCAGCTCCTGCTTCCTCCCGCCGCAGGCATCGAGGTCGACATTGACGTGGAGCACGGCGGGAAGAGAAGCCGCCTGACCCCCGTCTCTGCCGAGGGCTCCGCCCTGGAGGAGAAGAGCGGCTCGCAGCCCAGCAGCTGCGGCTCCGACCCCAGCAAGCCCGAGGGCAGCGGCGAGGGCACACAGTCCCTGGCGGAGCAGATGGGCAAGATTGTGCTGGAGGCCCCTGGGCACCCTGAGGCAAGCCAGGTGCGTCCTGCCTCACCTCCTGCATCCCCTCCCTCCCTCCACCCAGCCCTGTCCTCCACTCCGCCCCTCCCCTCCCTCAGCCTTGCTCCCTCATCGCCTACTTTCTTTTTTGTTGAGTTGGGGTCTCACTGTCGCCCAGGCTGGAGAGCAGTGGCACGCTCACAGCCACCCCAGCCTCACCCTGCTGGGCTCAGGTGGTCCTTCTGCTTCAGCCTTCCAAGTAGCTGGAACTACAGGCATGCACTACCCTGCCCGGCTAAGTTTTTAAATTCATTGCAGATGAGGTCTCACCAAGTTGCCCAGGTGGGTCTCGAACCCATGAACTCAGGCAATCCACTCGCCTTGGCCTCCCAAACTGCTGGAACTACAAGCTGAGCCACTGAGCCCAGCTGTTTTTTTTTTTTTGAGTTGGAGTCTCACTCTGTCGCCCAGACTGGACTGGAGTGCAGTGACCGCTCCCGGCCACCGCAGCCTCGACTTGCTGGGCTCTGGCGACCCTTCCGCCTCAGCCTTCCAAGGAGCCGGAACTACAGGCACTACCACGCCCGGCTGATTTTTTGATGTATTGTAGAGATGAGGTCTCGCTGCCCAGGCGGGTCTCGAACCCGTGGCCTCAGGCAATCCACTCACCTCAGCCTCCCAAAGGCACGGGATCACAGGCTAAGCCACCGAGCTCGGCTCCTGCTGTCCTTTTTTTTTAAAAAAAGACTTGCCTCACCCAAGCTGGAGTGTAGTTGCACACTCACGGTCACTGCAGCCTCAACCTGCTGGGCTCAGGTGATCTTTGCCTCAGCCTTCTGAGTAGCTGAACCACAAGCATGTGCCACCATGCCTGGCTGGTTTTTTCGATTTACTGTAGGGATGAGGTCTTGCTATGTTGCCCAAACTGGTCTCCAACCCCGTGAGCTCTGGCACTCCTCTCGCCTCAGCCTCCCAAAATGCCCAGCTGCCCCTCCTTCCTCATGCCCTCTCCCCCCGAATCCCATCACCTCACTAGGGCATCCCCTCCCTCTGCGGCCCAAGGGGCCTGTGATCCTGCTAGCGTGCCAGTTACGCCTGTGGCATGGGCGTCACTCTACCACTGCTGGAATCTGGTAAAGGAGAACACAGTGGCCTCCTCATGTGCCCCCTGCTTCCTGGCGCGCTGCAGCCCTCAGTGTGCAGATGCCCCCATCTGAGACGCCACGTCAGGCTTGGCTGCTGCTGTCCTGGGTGCTCACAGTGGATTTGTTCCAGGAACAGATGGAGTCTGACACCTGCTCAGGAGGGGATGACGACTGGACCCATCTGTCCTCCAAGGAAGTGGACCCGTCCACAGGGGAGCTGCAGTCACTGCAGATGCCTGAGTCCGAAGGGCCAAGCTCCCTGGACCCTTCCCAGGAGGGACCCACGGGGCTGAAGGAGGCTGCCCTGTACCCGCATCTCCCACCAGGCAAGTGGGCACAGGCGGGCCTGTGCTCCCGCCTCCCCGAGCGTCCTGCCTCCCTCTGACGCAGACGGGACGGGCAGGCCTCTCCTGCAGAAGGGCTGGTTCTGTCTTCCCACGTCTGCACTGGGCGAGCACAAGCCCAGCGAATTTCTGCCATTTCTACTGCCAAACGCCCAGACCAAGACTACAGGGAGCAGGCGTGACGCGGAAGCCACGGGCTTGCCCGGTGTCGTGCCACCCAGTGGGCTTAGGCTGTTGGTGCCTCCTCTTGGTGAGGGCTGGCCTTGGAGCAGGGGCCGAGACCTGTGGGAGCCTGTGCAGTGGGGGTGGGGAGGGCAGCAGGGCAGGCTGGGACTGTGGCAGCTGAGAGCACAGTCTGAATGGGACAGCAGGCCCCAGTCAGGTTCCTCGTCCCAGGGCAGCGGAGTGCAGATCTGGGGTCAAGTGCCTTGCCTTGTCTGTGGGCACGCCTGGCCCTCCAGGCTGCCAGCATGGCTTCTCTGCAAACCACGGTCCGTGGGCCACGAGTGGTCCTTACATTTGCAAGTCAAGACCTGTGACCGCCAGTTGCTCTCACGCTTCAGTGTCCGTCAGGTGAGCTGTGGGACACCTGACCTCGGCTGCCTCTGTTCCGAGTGGCAGAGTCGAGGGGCCTGTAGTCCCAGCTACTTGGGAGGCCGAGGCAGGAGCACTGTCTGAGCCCAGGACACTGACCCCTGCCCTTGTGACACAAGCACAAGCGGACAGCACTTCCCCTCTGGCCCTTTGCGAGAAAGTGCTGGCTGCTGCAGCTAAGGTTTGTGAGGGCTGCAGGCCTTGCAGCAGGCCCGTCTCTGGAGGGGGCTCAGTGCTGTCCTCATGGCTTCCTTCCTGTCTGGCAGAGGCTGACCCGAGGCTGATCGAGTCCCTGTCCCAGATGCTGTCCATGGGCTTCTCTGATGAAGGCGGCTGGCTCACCAGGCTCCTGCGGGCCAAGGGCGGTGACATCGGGGCGGCGCTGGATGCCATCCAGTACTCGAAGCACCCGCCGCCCTTGTGACTGTGTCCCCGCCCCCACCCCCCTCCGCCTCGTAGTCGCGCTGAGCTTGTGTCCAGCAGCAGGCCTGAGGGCCAGGTCGGCCTTCCTCCTCGGCGGGCGCTGGGCGCACAGCTTGGGCAGCAGCACAGGTGGCACAAGGGAGCGCTGTCGTGCATGCGGGGCTGTGAGTTAGGACCAGCCTCCTGGGGCTGGGGCCCAGCTCCCCACAGCAGGGCTGGACCTCAGCAGTGCCACACCTGTCCTCTCCCCCAGGGGTGACATGGACAGTTGGAACACACCTTGCCCAAAGGCCTGCTGCTGCCGCTTTCTAAAATGACTCACGGTACACTGATTTGTAGCTCGTTCTCCACTGGAGACCTGACACGCTGACTTACATGAAGCATGGCCCACGTGCCATCAGTGGCCCGGGGGGGAGGGGGACTGTCCTGGCATGGGCACTGGAGGACAGGCCGCCCAGTCAGGGCTTCCTGCTGGGAGCCGAGAGCTCATCAAGGGCAGTGCCACTGGTTTCACTGGGAGCTGCCTCCTGGTCTCCTGACCGTGCTCATTTCCAAACTCTCACCTGCTTTATAGTCAGAAGGTCCCTTTGTACCCATCCTGTTAATATATAAACAAGCTGTAATTAAAAACTGACTTGTTCCTAAAGTGGCAATAAGAGAAATGGCCTGACAGCCATGTTTATGTTTATTGTTGGCGAGTTCCAAGTGCCTTGGAGGAGCCCGTTTCCAGGGAACGGGTCTAGTGGAAAGGGGCTGCCAGAACAGGCACCCGAAGTAACGTGCCTGCCTCAGTTCACAGGGCATCGTCAAAGTCCTCCTCGGTTGTGAAGAGGCCACACAGGTGCATGCATGGGGACTTCTGTGCCCCTAGGGCTAAGGGTCCGCCCCTGGCCCAGGAGACTGCTTGGGCGTCTTCATGCAGAGCCCCTGGGGCCCTGAGGTGGGGGGATGCGTGGCTCCAGGGCGCTGGGCAGTGTGGGCGGGCGGGCCTGCTGAGGCCGCTGGCCCTGGGAATCCCTTGCTCAGCCTGGGGGTCCCTTGTTGCATCAGTTGCCTTGGGGCCGTGCCGCTGTGGCCTCGGTGGCTCTGTGTTCACATGGGCGCTGTCTCCAGGTGGCAGGGGGAATCGGGCTGCTGCGGAAGTGGTGGCTTTAACCTGCTGGGCAGGCGTCAGTGGGCTCCACCAAGGAGTGCTGAGCTCCCGGGCGCTGCGGTCTGTAGGGGTCTGGAGGCAGGGGCTGCAGCCTTGCCCCGCCTTCTTGGCCAGGCCAGCATAGCCCTGAAACAGAAATGGAGAAGATGGTCATACATGCCCTCTGCTCAAAAAATGTTGCCAGGGCCCGCAGGACCACCTGCCCTGCTGCTGCCTCAGTTTCTGCTCCAGGCTCACCTGCTCCGTGGTTGGCAGGCTGGGCTAGCTTTCTGAGGGTCAGTGAAGCAAATAAATGCTCCTCACCCTCCCCAAACCCTCCACCAAATCCCAGCAAAACAAGGCTGCTGGGCGTGGTGGCTCACACCTGTAATCCCAGCACTTTGGGACACTGAGGCAGGAAGATCACTTGAGCCCAGGAGTTTGAGACCAGCCTGGGCAACATAGCGAGACCTCATCCCTACAAATAAAATTAGCCAGGCATGGTCATCAACGCCAGTAGTCCCAGCTCCTCTGGAGGCTGAGGCAGGAGGATCACCTGAGCGCAGGAGGGAGAGGCTGCGGTGAGCTGTGCCACTACACTCCAGCCTGGGTGACAGAGTGGGACCTCGACTCAAAGACCCCCGAACAGCTCCTGGGGCCCTTTTCTGGGAACATTCTGGCCAGTGGCTCTCCGAGGGCCAGAGATAGGCTGCCTGGCAGAGATATGCCTGGCAGGAGATGCGTGCCGGGAAGGCCCTTGAGGCCACTGGGGAAAGGGAGGGGGATCCCCTCCAGCCTGCCCGTTCCAGTCAGGTGGCAGTGGCTGCACCCAGCTCCTGTGCAGCCATGGCCTGGCCCCCTGCTTACGAGGACGTGTGTGTGCTGCTCGGCACTGGCCACTGAACTCGCCAGCACACGGTGGAGACGCAACATGCTCCCACTCCTGGAGTTGGCAGCAGGCTCACCTGGGATCTCAGGGCTAGTTAGCGGCAATGCCCGAGTGTGGACTCTCTTGGCCGGGAGCTGGCACTCTGCACGTGGTCTGAGGCTGGCCAAGGCACTCTGGGGGACAGGGCGGGACAGTGACAGGGTCCAGCATATGACCTACAGTGGCCCATGGCACTCTGCAGTGCTGGCCTGGTGACGAGGCCTCAAAAAATGTGACACCCCACGTGCAAAGTGGCACATGGCCAGGTGTGGTGACTCAAGTCTATAATCTCAGCACTGTGGGAGGCGAGGTGAGAGGACCGCCCTAGCCTACCCTAGCCTAGGGCTGCCTTAGCCTGGGGCATTTGACGAGACCTCATCTCTACAATAAGTCGAAAAACTTAGCCGGGCGTGGTAGCGTGTGCCTGTGGTTCTGGCTATTTGGAAGACTGAGGCAGAAGAATCGCCTGAACCCAGCGGGTTGACATTGGGATGTGGGATGGCCATGAGTGTGGCATTGCACTCCAGCCTAGGAGATGGAGTAAGACTCCCAACTTAAAAAAAAAAAAATAAGACACGCATGCGAATCCATGCCTGGGCCAGCGGAGGCAAGAAAGCCTCTTCCACAAGGTGGGGCGGCCCTCTGGCTACCTCTGGATACATCCTCCACACCACCCAGCATGAGCAGGGCCTGACCCAGAAGTCCTTGTGGTTAACCTCAGCTGACTATAAGGCGCCAAGATGCCCATGTGTCCTGAGTCACCATCATGGGACAGGAGGTGCACACGAGGGGCGTGGGCCGCCTAGGGAAGGGGCTGGTACAGGCAGACAACCCAGGCACGATGCTAAGCTGCTGGGGGCGTGAGCTTCACACTCCACTGCTGACAAAACATGAGACCGAAACCCCCCCACGCGCACCCCAGTCCCTGGGCCTGGAGAAGCACGTCCTCCATCACTGACCTGGGCTTCCCAGGTGACCTCGAAGCCACCCACATCCTGGACATGAAGGCTGCACTGAGGCTGGATGCTGCTCTGGCTGCATTTCCTGGCAGAAGGACAGGCTGTCAACCGTCCAGTCCACTGTCCAGTGGCACTCGCGAGCCTGCCTCTGCAGTCACTAGGCCTTTGGCTGGCCTGGGTACGAGACGCCCTGCCCTATAGCTTCCCAAGTGCCCAGCCCCAGCCTGGGCCCTGCCTCTCTGCTAGGAAGTTATTTGAAAGCGGAATCCACCTCCCCAAAGCACCCGCCCAGGGAGAGCCACCCTAGGCCCTCAGCCTCAGGCAGCCACTGCAGCAACTCCCTGACTGCAGGACCCCTGGGGCAGAGGAGTCTCCCGGTGAGGCTGAGGCCCGCTTCTCTGGGCTGGGAGCTCCTGGCCCCCCCCCCCCCCCCCGCCCCGCCCCGCTTTATTTCACCAACCCCACCCTCAGTTCCTTCTCCAAAGTCGCACAAGCTGAGACGTTTAGAACTAGGTGAGCATCGTAAGGGGTGCCCATGTGCGTTCTGCCCAGCGGGGCAAGGGGCCGGAGGGACTGCGGCTGCCCGTGTTCCCGCCCGTGCCCGGCTCCCCCAACCGGGCCGACTGCAACGGGGGCCTGGGCCAGGACTGGAGAGGCAACGCTCGGCACCTCTTTCTGGGTGGGTCTTGGCCGAAGGTGGCGCCTGGCTCCGCTGCCCAGGACAAGGGCTGCCCGCCACCCTGCACGCCTCCCAGCTCCAGTTCCTGGGGCTCCCTCTTCAGGTACTTCAGCCAGCGGCTCTCTGAGGGCTGCGACTTTTCCTGCGGGAGAGGGAAAGGAGTTGATTCTTGGAGTAGAAGGAGGCGGCCACTTTCGTCAAAAACCCCCGCCCAATGCCTAGGTCTGAGGCTCTCAGGACCCACATCCACTTGACTCCCAGCATCTGGCTGAAGGGCTAGGGATGTGGACACTCTAGGCAGCCTGAGGGGACAAGAATGCCGGCGGCCGCCA